GGGCGGAGCGGTGTCCCTCAAAAACCACGAGCCGTGCCGGGCTCTGGCGCGGAGGGAAGCCGTTGCAAAGATCAAAACGCAAAGAACGTAAACCTGGGAAGTTACAGCGCCTGTCCCAGCCGCAGGGTTCTAGATTGTTAGACCAGGCAGTTGGATCAAGCCGGACAGCGACCTTTGGATAGCTTCAACTTCTGCTGGGTGTCTGAACGGTCACGTTACTGTTACTGCACAAGGCACAGGCTTATTGCAGCAGAAAGCAGGATGCAAAATGAACATTGTTTCTAACCAAAGAAACATTCTTAGAAAATGAAACTTGACAATTATTTCTCTCTTTTACACTAACAAAGTCTCTGGCTGGGGAGAGTAAGTTGAGCACCAGATATTTCTTCTACAATAGTCGGGAAATTCATTTTTAGAAAAGTCTGGCCATCATACTTTCTGAACGCAGGCCACTTCGTTTTCTCCAGTCATCTGCCACTCCAGTATGATCGCACACACCTGGAGCGGTCAGGTCTGTTGTTCAGATATTGATCTGTCAGCACCCTTCCCACCGTAACAGCGTTGCTTTAGAGTCTGGATGTGTCACCCCTCGCTTCTTCTCCCTCATGGTGCAGTAGCTCCCACCAGAGATGCTGCGACATCCACCTTCCCATCCTGCAGCCCCCTCACCTTCCACCTTCTGTTGCCTCATTTGTTCTGCAGTTCTCCCCTGCCCACGATTTACAACACCAGTGCTGGGACCAGCCGCTGCCCGAGCTCCCCAGGCCACGGGCAGGCCTAGGCCCTCGCTGCCCCGCCAAAGGGCTTCCACCCCACTCCTCTGGGTAGGAGAGAGGGTTCCTTTGTTCCTCCCCTAGTCCCAGCCTGTCCTTCAAGGCCTCTCAGGTACCTGGCTCTTGTGTGCCTCTGCTCAGCTGTTCCCAGTAGCGAGCAGTGTCTCAAATGCTACCATGCCGTGCCTGTGCTCGCACACCCAGCAACATGGGATCTTTGTTTAACATCTGTCCCCGTGTTTCTGGCAATCAAGGACAAAAAGGAAGATGCTCCTTGCTTTGAGGTTTACCTCATCTGATACATCGCTGCCCTTCTCCTCCTGGGACAGAGTCTTGCTTTGAATCCAGAGCAGCCAATTCCTTTTCCTTGCCAGCCTAGTCCCAGCTCATGCTGCGCTCTGCTCAGACGTGATGGTTCTCCAAACATAGAAGAGGTTTATAGTCTTGTCACTGGGTGGGGGGCTGGGTGGGTTGTGGTGTTGGCTTAGCAGGTAATTAGGTGCTGCCTGGTGGAAGATACTTAGGGAGCAAGTTCCTGAGACAGGGTATAGGAAACATGATGATTTTGTTGCGTGCTGCAGTGGAGCACAGAGGCACTAAAGTGATCCCTAACACGAGGTGAAATTGTAGGTCTCTGTGTGTGTGCAGAGAAGAAAGGGCCGTCTCTGCAGAGTATTAAGCGTGGGCACCGGTTGGTTTGTGTCACAGACCTGCTGGCAGTTAAGTACATTGCCACAGCAAGCAGATCTCTTGGTTTTACAAAGCGTGGACTCCTTGAGTTGTCATTGCTACTCAGAAAAGATCAGTTTTCATGAATGGAGTACCAGGATAAGTGCTATGGGTCTTTAGGGCCATATGAGTGCTCCTTCGCTGGATTTATGCTGCAATTCCTAGGGCACTTCAGGGATTAATAGTCAAATCAGTGTTGGCGGTGCTAGTGTTGTAAATCCAATGATCCAGGCTAAACTGGTACCTGGGGAAGCCAGTCTCTTCCAACAGCTCTGCATCTTCATTTCCCAATTTATCTTCAGATATAATGTCTGAGGGAGCGCGATCCGCGTGTTAGTGTGTGTCCCCGCAAGAAGGCTCCGCGTCAGGAGTCGAGACTGCCATCAAGCGTGAAAAAGAATAGGCGAAGGAGAAACCAGAGAACAGGCAACGACAGTTTGTAGATAAGAAAGGGAAGGCTCAGAGAAATGAGGAAAGATGAGTAAAGTGTGAATATAAAATAAAGTGGAAATACGCAAACAAAATAATTAGAATGCATGTTTCTGAATGTGCAGCATCACCCGCTCCACCTGTCTTAGTGTCTTAGAGTTTTGAAGCTTTTTAATTCAAGTACATAAGCTTGAAATAGGTTTATACTGATATAAGTCCCTAATACATGTTACTAATATCAAGCTATTGGTGTCAACTTTGGCATTTCTGATTCTATTAAATCTATGTATGTCTTTATTTATTGCTATAATAATAACAATAATAGCCCAGCGCTGCAGCACTCTGCGCGTGTGCACTGGCGGCCGTGTTGCTGTGCCTGCAGGTCGCTGCTGCGCTGCTGGGATGGGGCAGCGGGTGCGGGCTGGGCCAGGTGACGGCGGCCTGGGGAAAGCTGAGGGCCTGCACGAGCACTTACGGCACAAGCTTCAGACTGAGTCGCAGAAAGCTAAAACTGGAGCTGCAGCGTGACCAAAGACAGTAACTAAGGGTATTTGTGTGACACGAGAATAGAAGATCACAGTTTTTTTGAAAAATAGAGTAATTATGAACTGAAGTGAGAGGAGTACGTGAAGTTAACTGATGTGTGTAAAAAGTGACTGGGCTATACTCGCCGTTACGCTTTGCTGATTGTCATTGATACAAGAAATAAATACTGTAATTCTCTAGAAGGACTGTTTCAGCAAGCGTTTGAGCTCTGAAGATCAATACAGTTTATTCCTCTTTGCCAAATTGCATTAGCAGCTGACTTTGGTCCCTAGGGATGTCTGTACTGGTGAAATAATTCCCATTTAAAACGCTCAGCTCTGGGTATCAAGCTGCTGTAACACAATTTCAGCCCCCTGTCCCATGGCCGTGCCGCAGCTGCGTGCAGCCAGCCCATGTGAGTCCGGTGGCCAGCCGACCGCCTCCTGCCTGCGCC